AAATGGTTAGCGTTAGAAAGTCTGGTGAAGAAAGAGTTCACACAATTCAGTGATGTGTGGAGTTTTGGTGTAACACTTTGGGAACTCATGACATTAGGACAACAGCCGTACTTCGAAGTCGATCCCTTCGAAATGGCCGCCTATTTGCGCGACGGATATCGACTCTTTCAGCCAATCAATTGTCCCGATAGACTGTATAGAATTATCAAATGAATCTCTCATTCAAGTAATCATTGATTTTGGTTTGAATTTTAGTTACGATATAATGGTTTGCTGTTGGAATGCTGTGCCCGACGCCAGACCCACATTCCCACAATTGCTCTCATGTTTGGACGATTTCCACCAAACTCTTGGAAAGTATATCTAAATAGCCATCAATTCCATCCAATATGTGTTCCTATGGTCTCCACATATAATCGTTAGATTAGATTTTAATATACAAAACATTTTGTTGCCATTGAGTCCATGATTTGTGTTCATTGAAAGTATTTATCGCCATAATTGTGATTCATTTGAATCTTACTATCACTTGATGTACAGTATAATAGCGTTTGTAATAAATTTAATATATAATATTTTTTACTTTATTTATCATTTAAAGAGAAAATAAATAAAATGATTGAAAATCAGAATAAAATATTGAATTTTTCATTTTTGGGCACTTTATTGATGACAAGTCTTCCGTCATAACTAAGTGACGCAAAAATCCAGGGATCGCTCGCAGACCACTCCACCGCATACACACTGTCCTCGTGCTCCTCATATGTGGCGATCACACCATCGCTGGCCATCGAAGTCTTATGTGTCACTCCATTGTCTTCATCGGCGATCTCTTCCTCCAANAAACGGTATGTAATCGTAATGATATGTTTTGCGTGGATTTTCGCTCTGTTTGTCGGTTTGACGCCAATGTTTGGTTGGAGAGACTATCAGAAGTTTTTGGACAGAATTTACAAACACAAGACATGCTTTTCCAGCCTTAACATCGCCTATAAGGTCACGAGTGTTATCATCTTATTCTTCGGACCCGTCTCTATCATGATTCCCCTCTATTATGCCATTTATAAAGTATTTTATAATATTTTTAATGTAATATTTGTTACAACATTTTTATCTGTTTTTGTTTCCCAATTAGAAATCTATTGAATTTCGCAATAAATCCAAACTCATGACAAAAACATCGCTTCAATTACGAGAAGTGAGCTCTTCTGACGCCAACAAAACCGATGAATTTGACGTAAATCAAGATTTGAATGTTTCCACACAAAATGGTAATTCTTTTGGCAAAAATATGGCTTCAAAACAGACATCAAATACGAGTAAAGATATGATTAAAAGAGAGAAATTTATGCGCCGGGAGTTCCGGGTGGCCAAGACTTTGGCTGTCATTACAATTGTTTATATCGTTTGTTTGCTTCCCGTTTACACCACTCTATTAGTGACTGTTATTAAAAATGATAATCAGTTGTCAAGACTTGTATTTCCTCTCACTTTATGGCTATTATTATGCAATTCAGGCGTTAATCCAATACTTTATGCTATATTTAACACTAATTTTAGAAACGCTTTCAAAAAGATTCTCAGATTATATTAATTTTTAATTATTAATAATATTAATAAGTAAATGATCTAATATTTAAACATGTTGTAATTATATTTAATGTAATATCTAAATATAAATTTTTAAATAATAATGTTACAATATATACTTTACAACAATATTGTATTTAACTCGTGTATAATTTATGTATAAATTTATTTATAAAGTAAATCAAAGAGATATTGCATTTGAAAATTTTATTGTTTATATATTTACTTGAATTTACAATTAAATAAATAAACTATAGTTTTGTGTCGTTTACTTTTTTGACAACACTTTTCTCACGAATAAAGTCTCGACGGAAATCCATTTCAGTATTCATTGAGTTTTAATAAAGAGTTGTTTCGTTGATTTGTGTTTCAATCAATTATGGGTAATATGTTTTATACGGCAAATGACTGACAGTTATTACAACTTTATAATCTATATAATTACAAAAAATTAACTAAATTATGAATCTATTTATTCCGATCGACAAAATATATTTTCTCCAAATTCTGGCAACGATTCTGTTGGCGATAATATTATTGATAACAATATTGGTTAACATTTTAGTGATCGCAGCGATTGTGAAAACTCCAAAACTGAGGAATTGGTCTAATTATCTAATATTGTCGGCGAGTGTTAAGGATGTGATCATCGCATTGACGGCGATGTCGTTCACGGCATACATCGATGTCATTCATCTCAGCGAATGGCTATGGAGTCCATTGGGATGTGATTTGTATTATTCATTAATAGCCGTTTGTATCGCACTCTCAGCTATACATACGCTATGCATAGCCGCCGACCGCTATCTTTCGGTCACAAGATTTAAATATTCAACGATTTATAAGAAACGATACATTATATCAATGATATGTTTTGCGTGGAGTTTCTCACTAGTAATGGGTTTCAGTCCATTGTTTGGCCGCAGAGATAGGCATTCATTTTTAGTCGCTATTAAAAACAATTTTTGTGACCCAACGCTCAAAATCTCATACAAAACATCCATCATTTATTTATCATCTTTTTCGACAGTTTTGTGCACATATTTTATCATTTATAAGGTGTGCATAGATTAAGCAATTTATTTGCAAATGTGTCTAATTTTTATCATATTTTGTTATTCTAGAATTACATTAAATTCGGGTCAAAAGTATGCGTTTATAACCGAAGTATCAATGAATTAAAAGACAGAATCAATAGTGAAATAATGCAAAACAAAACAATAGACGAAATGCATGAGAATTGCGAAAACTTTGGCAAACTTTGGCTTCAAATCAAACGACATATGGATAGAGAAGTGGAGAAGAGATACAAACGACTTCGTCGGGAGTTTAGAAGTGCCAAAACTCAGGCAATCGTTGCCTTAGTTTTCATACTATGTTTGTCACCATTTTATATAACTTTAATGTTTTGTGACATGAATTCAGTGAATAATTTGTCAAAATTTACTATTTCTATCACATTATGGCTATTATTATGCAATTCAGCAATAAATCCGTTTGTTTTACTTTTATATACTAAACGGTTTCGAAGTGTCATCAAAATTATGCTTCATTTAAAATAATGTGATTTGTATTTAATGTGAAGTAAAGTTATATTTTTAACATATTAATACAACTATTAAACTTGTGATTAGTATTAGGCTATGTTTTACTTAAATTGTAATTTTATTTTTGTAATATACAGTATTAGTAGAAAAATCTTAAAGTATTTTTTCTGAGATTAAACTTATTTTATTAAATTTATTATAATTAAAAAAAGTTATCACTTTAATAAATGCTTTTATAATTTGAAATAAATAATATTTTCAAGATTTTACATGAAAATTAATATTGATTCTAGATTGAATACTTTCAATTAATTGAATTCATTTAATGAGTATATTTTAAATTATATTTTAAGTAATAAAATTATATAGTTTAACAATACAGAGGATATCATTACAAACTCATCCTTTTCCTGAACCCACACTTTATATTATATTTATACCAAGAAAACGGATATTTAATACTAAAACCACAAAAATGTAATCAATACTAAATGTTGTAAATCATAGAATTTACACGAAGTTAAAAGGATATTAGTTGTTATAAACAGATTATATGATTTTACGACATACAGTAGGAATTAATAGCAATTATATTCACAAAATTATACCATTATTAATGGTTCATTCAAAATAGAAATTGAATCAATTTTTGGATCAGTTTGATTCAGTTTTACAGATACATTTTTCTCATAATTACAGTATTTGAAAATACAACATTTAATTACTTTTATAAATTATATGCAATATTAGTACTGTATAATTGTTATCTCATTAAATCTGTAATCAAAATTAATTATCAGTTAACAAGATAATAAACTATTTTATTATATTTATTTTGTAAATTAACAGCTAATATACAGTACTTATAATTAGGACTTTTCCTTACATTTGATTGACTTATATGTATCTCTTGGAGATAATTGATACTAATATTTATTTTAATTCTTCAATACATTAACATTTAAAGTATTGATTCAGTTAAAGACAACGCGATTGCAAACCACAGATTGTTTCAAAACATACCATTAATTGTCAAAACACTTAAAAACATTTACATTAATACAAATACTCTCTCAATCCATAAGAGAGGACTTTAAAAGAGAAAACTATTCGCAAAACTTATGATATTTTTATAAACAGTCTATTATTAGATTTATAGATAGAATTTGTTTATAAAACACTAATCATGGGATTGATTACAATATTATGGCGACAATCAAAACATTGAAATCGCGAGTCTTTTAGTGTCAGTTAAATCGTAAATTCAAAACTCAATTAAATGTTTACAAAATGGGTTTATTGTGCTGTTGTTTCAGACCTAAACTCTTTAGGCTTGAAAGGAGTGTTAAAATAGAGGAGAAGAACAGATCATACGATGGTATATACCATACAATATATCAATATATCTGTTATATAATTACTTTTAAACTAAATTAAAACAAAAATAATCGACGTTTCAGTGGTTAACGACATATCGATTGATAACAACCCGACGATCAGTTCATCTGTCTATCAGACGCCGACAGTGGGTTTGAGTGAACAGAATCTGTTTGATATAACAGTGCAGACAATGGCGGCGAAGATGATCAATATCCCGGCCCATAGCGAACAGTTGCCACAAACACTTCTCAGAGACAAACAGAAGACTTACGCCCGAAAAGTATTATCCATAAGAAATCCTCTTCCGCTCCGATCCAGCGCTCAGATGACTAAATCAAAGTCAGAGCCCAATAATGGTTTGTGACATTGTATTCAATTCCCATATTTGCAAATCAATAGCTTTTCAGCAGTTTTTGTATGTTTTTGTTTTTTGATGAAAACTTTTAGTTACGATTCAAGAGAGATGCGAATCAATTGATTGTATTCGCGAAGAAGACCTGAAACTGATCCGCAAATTCAGCCAAATGTCGAGTAATGCCATCAAAAAAGGTTTCAGTTTCTGGTCGGAAGAGCCCATTGTTGTCAAATTTAACCCAAACAACGATCACAAACATTGAATTTTCTAATTAATATACAATACAGCAGGTGTTTGTATTGAAAACCTATTTTAATAAATTTAACCATAATTTTGGATAAAGTAAGTTATTTAAAACAATCAATTAATTAAAATAAAAGTTAAACTCGAATTTAAAACTAATTTCTTAAATAAATATAATTACTTTACTTTATTTTTAAATTATTTTAATCGATAACTTGGATTTTAGTATTATATAAGTAAAAACTAACCGTGTAGACACAAACCTGACACCTCCCTATTAATAGTCTAATATTTTAATAATTTATGTTTATTACTATTAATTGACTAAATAATTGAATTTTCTTAAACTATTTGTAAGTATTAGTGATTATTAATCACTGATTATAACTATTTTCTTATTAATCCTCATTAGTGTTCACACTATAAGCCTTTCATATCAATAAAATGATTACAGATTTGATAAATGATTGCCATTTAGTTCTCGCAATTACTAATTCAAATAAACCATTATTTTCTCACTCTTTCTGTTATTGTCAGCAATTAATAAAGATTTGTGTAAAAATTATTTGTCCATTAAATGCAAGTAATAAAGGGTTTTGCTATCAAACCTATTGAGTAAATGTTTAAAACAATTAAGTCTATTGTCATTAAAATTTGTGTTTAATATACGAAAGGCATGTATTTCTAAATGAAAGAAGTGGTCATAAAATGCGTTCAAAACAAGAATTGAAGGAAAGTGTGGACAAGAAGTCAATGTTTGAATTGATTAAAGAACGAGAGATGGCAAAGGAAGAGAGGAAAAAGAGGAAAGAGAGGAATGGGATGAAGGATGCGGTGGAGACCAGCGGTCAGATAAGTCAGACATTTGTTTGTGTGGCTGAGAACTGTGGCAAAAGGTTTCGTTTGAGACGATCTCTCAGAAGTCATTACAAGTTTTCGCATTCAAAACAATACAACATAACCACGAAATCATTGGATTTTGTCAACTGTCTCACCACTAATCATATCAATAATTATCACAAAAATGTACGCCAATTGAATGCTAGCCCTCACAGCGATTACGACGATAATCATGATTTCAATTCTAATAGCGATAACAGTATAACTAATAGTCCGACTAATTGTGATAACAATTCAATCGATAAAATTTCTAAAGAAACGTTTGTCTTTGAATGCAATTTCTTTGAATGTAATTATAAAACAAAGTCTTTCGACAAAATTAGTGATCATTTTGTAGACCATTGGCAGGAATTGAGTCCTTAGATGCAAATTATGGTCGATTCAGTTTTCGTAATTCATTTCAATGATTACTCATTTAATTGATAATTAACTTTATATTTATTACAAATTACTTATATTTCTTTTTATTCAAATAATCTATATTAAAATGTCATTTAATTTTCCTAATTATTATGTATTAATTGGTAATATTGTTAACTTTCCACTGCTTAATAAACAATGTGATTACTTATTGTATTCTATTTTAATAAATACTCAAATATGTGAAAACTTTCTGTTGAAATAAACACAAATTTATTTAAATAAAAAACCATTAAAACACATGTTTGTCATTCAAAGCACTGGTATTTTTGGGGCGAAAATATCATTTGTTTGAAAGAGAATTTGTAAGAAAATATTTCCATTT